CCCCCCACCCCGCCACAGACAGAGTTCCTGATCTACCACCCCCCCCCCGCCACAGACGGAGTTCCCGATCTACCACCCTCCTTTCCACACGGCTGAGAAGAAGGACGTGGCCCTCGTGGACCCTGTGGGAGAGTGAGTGGCCCTCCCCTGCCCCTCACAGACGTCTGCGTCCACTGGCTTTGCAGATGACCAGTGACCCCCTGCCCCGCCCAGGCCGCGGCACGGCTGTGGAAGCTGAGCGAAGGCCCTGGGTCACCGCCGTGGGCCGTGGACGGAGGCCGAGCCGTGGCCGCCGCGTCTCTCCCTGCCGCATCTCCGCTCTCAGGATTGTGCTCTCTCGTTTACTCCAGCACCCCAGAACCTCTGACCAGGATCCGCTACAATGCCCTGGACGGGCTGACGGACCGCCGCAGCTTCCACGGGGCCTACGCGGTCCAGGAGGGGCTCCCGCGGTGAGTGTCCGCGCCCCCCCGCCAGCGCGGGCCACACGCTCCCGGCAGGGCCCTCTCTGGGCCAAGTGGAAATGTTCTGGTCTGAACCGGGGAAGGACAGGGCCCTAGGGACGGCGTGTGCCTGGGGACGGCGTGGGCCCTGGGGACGGCGTGTGCCTGGGGACCGCGGCGTGGGCCTGGGGACGGCGTGTGCCTGGGGACGGCGTGGGCCCTGGGGACGGCGTGGGCCCTGGGGACGGCGTGGGGACCGCGGCGTGTTGCCGGGGCTCACGTGGAAGGAGAGTTCATCTGCGATCTCACCCCACACACAGGCGAGGCCCCGCTCCAAGTGGCCAGGCACCCCATGAAACCCTGCCAGGCATGGGTCTGGGACGTGGACGGTGGGGGAACGAAGGGGCCTGAAGGGAGAGGCAGGGGTGGGCTTGGAACATTCTGGAACAGAGGGGTTTTCTGTGCCTGCAGCCAGAGCTTGTGGAAGGCGGAAGTGGGGGACAAGGAGGCGTGAGCAGGCTGTGACCGACTGAGGGGCAGGGTCGCGGGACGCGGAGAGGGGTGCTTGGGTTGTGGGCAAGGAGAGCAAGCCCCCAAGCAGTAATGGCCGCAGCCCAGAGCCTGAGATGGCTGTGCAGAAGCAGCTGCACAGAATAGCTTGCCAGGGTGCTGTGGGCTAGGTTGTTCCCAGCTGGCTTGCCGGGGTGCTGTGGGCTAGGTTGTTCCCAGCTGGCTTGCCAGGGTGCTGTGGGCTAGGTTGTTCCCAGCTGGCTTGCCAGGGTGCTGTGGGCTAGGTTGTTCCCAGCTGGCTTGCCAGGGTGCTGTAGGCTAGGTTGTTCCCAGCTGGCTTGCCAGGGTGCTGTGGGCTAGGTTGCTCTCAGCTGGCTTGCCAGGGTGCTGTGGGCTAGGTTGTTCCCAGCTGGCTTGCCGGGGTGCTGTGGGCTAGGTTGCTCTCAGCTGGCTTGCCAGGGTGCTGTGGGCTAGGTTGTTCCCAGCTGGCTTGCCGGGGTGCTGTGGGCTAGGTTGCTCTCAGCTGGCTTGCCAGGGTGCTGTAGGCTAGGTTGTTCCCAGCTGGCTTGCCAGGGTGCTGTGGGCTAGGTTGTTCCTAGCTGGCTTGCCGGGGTGCTGTGGGCTAGGTTGTTCCCAGCTGGTTCAGTTGGCTGTGGTGACAGAGCAGGTGATAAAGAACAGAGGTTTATTGCCGGGCGCCAGTGGCTCACATGTGTCATCCTAGCTACTCAGGAGCCTGAGATCTGAGGATCACAGTTCAAAGCCTGGGCAGGAAACTCCATGAGACTCTTACCTCCAATAAACCACTAGAAAACCAGAAGTGGCGCTGTGGCTCAAGTGGTAGAGCGCTTGCCTTGAGCTGAAGAGCTGGGGGACGGCGCCCAGGCCTCGAGTTCAAGCCCCACGACCAACAACCACAAAAGAGGCTCCTAGTTGAGGCTCCAGGCCAGGGCTGCGTGCGTCGGCTGGCTGTGGAGGCCTAGGCTGGGGAGGCTTTAGTGGCCAAAGTGGGGCCAGGCTTTGTTCCCAAGAGCACCCCTGCCGTGCCAGTGCCCAGTGCTGAATTCACCCCTCAGAGCCCCCGAGTCCTCCTTCCTGTCCAGGCAGCAGTGTGGGAGGGGCTGGCACTCCTGTGTGCCTGGCCCTGTGTCCCCCCCATGCCCACGCCCTGCCCCGCTCTCTCGGACATGCCGTGGCTGACCCGACCCCTTCCCACCCAGGAACCCCATGGGACGCACGGGGCTGCGGGGGCGCGGCAGCCTCCGCTGGTTTGGACCCAACCACACGCTGCACCCTGTGGTCACCCGGTGAGCGGGGGACTGGTCAGTCTGGGGGGCTCCCCGGGAGGGCTCCCGTGTGCCGGGGGGTGGGAGGCGTCCCGTGGATGCGTGTGACGCCCGTTGTCTGTGTCCCCTCCTTGGAGCAGCCCAGCTGCCTCGCCTCCCCCGAGGCCGCCCCACGCCCCGGCTCCACTGGGCACAGCCGGCGTCCAGTCCTGCGCGCATTCTTCTGAGTGGCCTTTACTTCCCCTTTGCTAACCGAACTCTGAAAAAAAGAAGAAATTTACACTGGGGGACAAGCAAAACCTAAGGAAGAGAAAAAGTTACTGAAACTAAAAAAGAAGTAGGCATATCTAATACCACTGTCGGCCAGTGTGCTTCGGAGTTATCCTACAAGGATTTCGAGTGCACACACACACACACACACACACACACACACACACACACACCCCAAATCCACAGTCATGTGTGCATGTCAACGTAATACCACACCCAATGGCTTACACCTTCATTCTATCATCTACCATCTATTTACCTATCATCCATCTGTGATCTGTCATCTACCCCCTATCATCCGTCAGTCATATCTATCTACTTACCTATTATTTATCCTTTATCTACCTATCATCTATTATCTGGCAGTCAAATCTATCTATCCATCTATCTACTTCTGCCCAACATTTATCTATCAATCTATCACTTTTCTAAATTCCTTTACCTCAGAAAGACTGGCACTTCAGCCTCTTGGTCATATTCCCTAAGCTGCTGGGGTCTGGCTAGTCCATAGAGAGGAAGCTGGGTGCGCTGAGGCCGGGAGGCATGGCCCCCTTGGTAACGGGCCGGGAGGCGTGGCCCCCTTGGTAACGAGGCGTGGCCCCCTTGGTAATGGGCCGGGAGGCTTGGCCCCCTTGGTAATGGGCCGGGAGGCGTGGCCCCCTTGGTAATGGGCCGGGAGGCGTGGCCTCCGCTTGGGTAACAGCCCGGCTGGTGCAGGTGGCGGAGGAACCAGGATGGAGCCATCTGCAGGAAGAGCATCAAGAAGATGCTGGAGGTGCTGGTGGTGAAGCGCCCTGGCTCCGAGCACTGGGCCTTGCCTGGGGTAAGCTGGGGAGGGCAGCAGGCCCGGCCTCTGCTGTCCCGCCCACCCGTCCACCTGCCGGCCTCCCACCCCTCCCTCCGTCCGCCTGCCAGCCTCCCACCCCTCCCTCCTGCAGGGCTCAGCAGGCTGTGCTGGGTCTGGCTCTTGTCCCCTCCCCCCCCCCCCCCCCGCTTGCTCAGGTTCGGATTCTCCTTGCCTAATGGGCACGGTCGTGCGGGGCTGGTGTTCTGTGGGCATCTGATGGGCCTCGCAGAGCCGAAGACACCTCAGTGATCCGGCACGGCTGGGCAGGGCCGGCATGGAGAAGACTCGGCCTTTCCTGCCCGAAAGACTCAGAGCCACTCCATCTCCCACGTTCCCGGCCTCTGTCCTCAGGCCTCCCCCTGCAGGGTGGGGTTCCCGGCCTCTGTCCTCAGGCCTCCTCCTTCCCCCGTTCCGGCCTCTGTCCTCAGGCCTCCTCCTTCCCACGTTCCGGCCTCTGTCCTCAGGCCTCCTCCTTCCCACGTTCCCGGCCTCTGTCCTCAGGCCTCCCCCTGCAGGGTGGGGTTCCCGGCCTCTGTCCTCAGGCCT